GCCCCCCCGACCCCCAGCGGCACCGCAAGGTTGGGGACCACTGCCTTAGGACCATGCGTCGCCCCTTCCAAGCAGCCAGGGTAAAACCACTACATGCACATCAACTGCACCCCAGGGCTCAGGCCTACCTGTCGGCACAGAGAGCGGGGAGAGAGGGCGGGAGAGGGTTGGAGACGGCGTTCCCACCACCAGGCTTTTCCGGTTATTGCTCCGGCAGCTGGAAAGGGAAAACAGAGCGTGATTGTTGCGTGGCTCCCGCATGCTAAAGCAAAAGGGGGCGCGGAAGCAGACTTGGAACCCCCCTCCACAGGCCGAGCTGCTTTTGCTTTACAATCACAGCACCCCGATTCATGCAGGAGCGCCCCGCCGGCACGCCAGCCCCAGAGCTCAGCACAGGGGGAGAGCGCGACCTCTTGGATGCTTCTGCGGAGGGCTGGCACGGCAACATTCAACAGTGACGCCCTCGCAACCGGTTCACACGTCCAGTTTCAGCTGTAGTTCAGACACCCAATACCCAGCAAGTAAGAGTATTTAAAAAAAAAAAAAAGCCAAAAAGACCTAAAAAAGAGGAAGCAAACAAACTGCCAAAGGGTTTCATGCCCATAATTGAGCGCTTGATGGAAAAGGCTTCTAAATCCACAGTCATAGCCCCCAAACGACATAAATCATTCTTGTTTACGGGCTAACTTTAAACCACTTTGCTGTGAGACCTGGGAGCCAGACATGCCCTCCTACCAGATCTGCAGACACCACTGGTGAAGCTGGATTTTGCTCCATAAAAGCCAGTTACGGCATCTGGTTCCCCGTTCGGCTGCACTCTGTGTCTGCGTGCAAACTAGGACTCGGGTGACTACCTCCCCGGCCCGAGGTTCCACCTGGAAAGCCTCCTTTAAACAAATCAGGAGCAAGAAACCAAGGGCCAGGACAAGCAGAGAATCCTTTGCTAGCTGGAAAGCGATCTGAGAATTCAGTCCAAGCAAAGGAATCGCTCTGGCATAACCATGGATCAACTCCACGTCTGCCTTATCGCTGCATCAGCTCTTACGGCACATCCAGGAAAGCTGACCCTCTTGCACTCAGACCCCTGGGCTGTCTGCGTAGGCTGGATTCCCCCATTAAGTGCCTTAAGGGAGGGTCTCCAACTCCAGATGTTCAAGAACCATGAGACTGCGAGAAGGAAATCGCAGGATTTTTAAGCCATACGTCTTGGGGAGTCTTTGCTGTTGCTGTTTTTCTTTTTGAGAACTTTCCTGCTGTTTGCCACAGTGCTGGTCCCGGGCCTGGATGACAGAGAAGGGTTCTGTGGTGAGGTGTGCGACCTACTCCGCTAACATTTCACCGCAACAGAAACAATGACACCAAAACCTGAGGACAGGGGATGCAGAGGACACTGAAGAGCCAAACCTGACAGAGCTCAGCAAAAGCACCAAGAACGCTGAGAGTTGGAGATATGGAACCCTAATGACCAAAGATGAGGCAAGACGACTGTACGAACCTGGGACAGGATGGGAAAGCTGGCAAAGGATACATAAGAAATGGGGGGGGGAACCATCTGACCATGCAGGGCGTCCCCGCTATATGTCCCAGATACCTTCCAAAATATGTGGATGTATAGCGAAACAACGTAAAGTGTGAGAATTTTTTTCCTGTGTCTGACATCCGTTGGCACGAATTAGTCTTTTTTTTTTTTTTGACGCACAATATAAGAGAGGGGACCGGGAGGACGTAGAACGCAACAGTTTGTATAAGTGTCAATGACATTAGTGCGGAACCGACATACACCGAGGCGGCGTACAGCGGGGACGCCCTGAACTTGGTGTCAAGAGAACAATAATCGAAGAAGCCACACCAACCAACGCACAGCAAGCAACCATGAAAAGGTACCTTCTACAGGCAGGTGCAGTGATGCTGGAGGTCACACCGAAACCACAACAACAAGCTGACGACAGGTGAGACTTCAAAGCACAAAGCAGTAACAGCTCTACTGGCTGGGAAGAAGTCACGGACACAGAGCAGAAGGCACTCAAGCAGACAAACACCCTGACAAGCACAAACAAGCACAAACACCCAGACAAGCACAAACACCCTGAAGAGAGATGCCTCTCTCTTCCACACCGGACAATGCAACTGTCAACCAGATAATTCACGAGCGTGTAACTCACAGACGGCATGTTCTTTGAAAGACGGCAAAATCAGCGGAGGAGCAGATGCTGGCTCTGATCTGTAGTGGCCACGTTACAACACAAGCTCAGAGCGTGAAAATGAGCTACGGCAATAGAGAAGCGCAAGGACAAAGACACACAGATCAGACTGTGCTTCAGAACCAGTCCAGGTTTTACAGGACCAGGCTGATGATGAAAACCTGGAAGACAAATGATCAAACTCTCAGAAGATACAAAACTAGTGGGCCGCCGAAGGAGCCCAACGGAGGATGCACGGGGTTTATGCTGTGATCGACAACGCTCTGAAGGCAAAAAAGGAGCAGTACAAGACAGGCAGAACTCCTAGAAGAGGATGCCAGAGACGGAGAAAGAAATAAAGGAAAGATGCAGGCAAGAGCAAAAAGTCTGGGGCCAGGAAAAGATGGCGGAAGCACAGAAGGGAGACTTCAAGCAGCTCTACAGTACAGCAAAAGACATCTCCGGAAGAGCCGGATGATCCCTTGTGATGCCCTTCAGGGACTCTCACAGACAGTAGGGATGTCAAAGAATAGTCCACTATACTATTAACCGATAAGCCGAGGCTTATCAGTTAATCTTGTCGACTACACGCACTGCTTTGTGGCAGCAGCCCCTATCTGTGGGAAGTATAAGCCCGCCCTGGG